TTGATCGCCCTTGTTGACTCTTCAGTGGCTCTGAAGTTATGGATGTACCAATTAATCTTCAATCAGTCTTTCTTATTCAAGGTTCCTTATCTGTGGATTTGACCATCTGCGAGTCAACTTTTTATGACCTCTTTACTATACATACACAGATTTTGGTGTCATTACTTTTTAGACAATGTTGAAAAATTGTTCACATAGCATTTAGGTTTCCTAAGGAATGTCAGATGACGTGATATGGAGGGGAGGGCATGTGTGTAGGCTATATCCAAATATTTAGGCATTTGTATGAGGGTTGTGAGCACCCACCAATCCCACAAACAATCTTCTGGTGATGAAAGATAATTTATATTTGGCAGGTAATGACCTAGATAATTGCTATTAAGTCAATCTCAACCCTCTTGACTCCACAGTCCGCAGATGACCTGATGTTAGTTAAGTATTAAGGAAGTGGGGCCAGTCAACCAGATCGACTGTCTGCATTCAAGGAGGTCACAGACTACTAGGAGAGATAAACATTAAATAAATATCCCTGTAATAGGTTATTCAATTACACATTAAATAAATAAAGACACAATGAGATTAATAACCAAGTTTGGAGAAGCTAAAATTAAAGGGGTTGGAAAAGTGGGTACCAAGGGATTTCCTGCAATGCAGCACCCAGGTAGAGAATTAATGTGTCCGTCCAGTTTAGCTGCACCCAAAGTGAGACATTCTAGGGTCTGTATATGGCAAACGCAAAACTGAAAATTCCCATATGAGTGGAAGGGATCTTTTCTTTTCTTTTCTTTTCTAGTCTTTTCTTTTCTTTCTTAAGAGGGAAAGTTGTTAGAGATTAGGGAAAAGTTATGTTGAAATCAGTTTGCTGTTTCTCATCTTGATCTCATTAACAAATCACTGATAGAATGTGTGGGGGTGAAAGAAACCACCTGTGCCCAGGCCCTTCTAGATAGGGACCAGAAGAATTGCACTGAAGTAGGATTTAGACAAAACGATTGTAAAACCCCCCCTATGTGGCTCTAGTGTGGAGGCAGATCTGACGCTCATGGGCTAGGTCTTGTAGAGCGGCAGAAGTTTCTATTTTGTTTTCACGGGGCGTGAGTGAAGATTTTTAAGGAAGAGTGAGCCAGTATCAGCTTTGCATCCTTAAGTGTCAGTCAGGACGTGATGGGTAGATGGGAAGAAGAAAGACGAGTCGGGGTGTGAAATGTGGAGGCTGGAATGAGGGTGGCAACAGGGGAAGATGGAGAGATAGGAAAAACAGAGTTGGTTTTCAAAACAATCCCCAGACTGAGCCGTGGACTCGGGGCAAGTCGACAGTGTTGGGCACTGTGGGGGTTAATACATCTCAGAGATGCTCAGGATTGGTGCAAATGAAGGCCAAGACTGCTCCACGCCCCTCTCCACTCCACTCTAGTTGTCACAGTGTACTTCTCATTATGTTGCCTTAGTTATGAACGTCCTGGCTTTGGTTAATAGAAATGATTTGCTCTGTCAGAAAATCAGACTTAGGTCGTACTATTACTGATCGTTGCTGTTGATGCTACTGCATGTTTTTCTTCCAAGAATCCCCGCAATTTGCTTTGTAACCCGAAAGAGACCCCCAAAGACATCATAACTTTCAGCTTTTCAAGGATGCCTGGATGTCACCCGCTCGGGCTCAGCTACACCCTTGCTAGACACTGTTGAAGTACCAGGAAATTCATTTTGCTTGTAACTGTTCTTAAAAGAAGCCTGTATTTATGTTTCCTAAGTAAGATAATTAGTCAGAAACTCACATGGTATGATTCCATAGATATTATGCTGTTGGCTAGTTACGAAAATAATCAAGTACGGCTCAGAAGGATGACTCAATTTCACAAATGAGTTGTACCGCCGTAAATATTTACTTCTAAATGTGATTCTGTTGAAAAACCTCTCAAAGCGCTTTCATTAAGCCTGCATGATGCACAGGCTGCATACTTACGAGGCCATTATTCAAAGGGTGATCATTTTTTAAGTAAGGAGAAACATGTGGCCTTCATTGCAGCCAATACATTTAGAGCTGCCCACTTGCCAAGACTTGAGATGAGCGTGATTGCTTTGATTCCTGGCGTTTATCTTACACATTCACATATGAATGTACACACACACACACACACACCCCACTCCATAAACCAGTTTTAAATAGTGTCCTGATCTCTTTGCTCTTTCATCTTCTGACGCTAGTGCTCATCAATTACCCCCTTATATAGATTTCACAGTCAACCTTCATTGCTGTCCTTTTGAGGGTCATTTTTGCAGTACATTTTTTGCACAGCAGTCAACTGAGTACTATAAAATTGAAGTGTATTGTTGATATTTACTTTCTTAGTACCCTTCAATGATTTCTTGAGATCCTTAGACTAAGGCCCAAACTCCTTACCCTAGGCATGAAAATCCCCGTGACTCAGTTGCCACCACCTTTTTTTTTTTTTTAACCTAACTGCACTGAGCATTCCTTTCTGTCCCTAAGCACCGGACTTTTCACCCCAATAGTCCTGCAATCGCTATTCCTTCTCTCTAGATGTGTGGGCTCGTAGGGTTTCTCTCTCTCTCTCTCTCTCTCTCTCTCTCTCTCTCTCTCTCTCTCGACCTTGGCCCATCATTCAGGCCTAACCAGCATTACTTTTGAGCAATCACTGTCTGTATCCTATACTCAATGAAAAACACTATTTAATTTTCTTCAGAGCTTCCCATTATTTAAAATTAACTTACTTCCTGGTCACCATCTTATCATTGACTCCCTTCTGCCACCCTGGAAGGATGATAAGGGTGAGTATTTCTACGAATTGAAAGCCCTGGCTTAGCTTGGTTACAACAGCAGTATCCCTGAGGATTTTCAGTGTCCATCCCCCATGTATAGTAACATTTACTGAATGAATAAAATTTTGATTGAGTGATATATTATTCATTATAAAATTACATTGAAAGCCAGGCAATATGGTACAAGCACAGCATCAGGAGAAGCAGAGCCTGGTACCCGCAACTTTGACGTTGTCTTCCCTGCTTATCCCGGAATCCTGATGGCCTCTTTCCATGCTCCAAGACCATTTCCCAGGGTGCAAGGAATGAAGGGTGAAACACTGATGTTCTTAGCTGTCCTGTAGGTATTACAACTTCCGGCTCCAGCTGAGTTTCTGTAGCTTCATGTCTTAGATCCTGCGTTCCTGCGTTCTCTACTCTCTGAAAGTCTTGATTGGCACTTTTTGTCTCGCCGATGGGCCAGTGTCAGTCCACGTGTTCTGCACAGACATTAGCGCTCACACTTTATCCGTATGTGCACACAGGTATTTTCAGGTTATATAATAATTCATCAATGCATCAGCTCCATCGATGACCTTGTAGTGAGCTTCAGTGTGCTTAGAATTCGACAAACACACTATGGTAGGGAACCTAGGATGCTGCCTTTCTGCTCTGAGGAAACATGCAGGTCTTTTTGTTCCTGCTTCTCTGTTGCTTGGTTTGATGTTTTGATATCATTCCAGTGGGATTGTGCCTCACAGCTACCTACTAGGCTTCATTTTAATTGTTTACTATATTTGACTTGTATGAGTGAGTGTGTCTGAGCACGTGTGTGTGCATCATGTGTGTGCAAGCATCAGAGTAAGCCAGCAGAGGGCATCAGCTCCCCTAAAACTGGAGTTTCAGGTGGTTGTAAACTACCTGATGTAGGTGCTAGGAGCTGAGCAGAAGTCCTTCGGGGGCGGGGGGGGGGGGCGGACAGTAAGAGCTCTTAACTGCTGAGTGACCTCATCAGCTCCTGGTCTGCATTTTTTAACTAAGAATATTGCTGGCATCTCATCATCTCGAAGTCAGTTACTTACCTAGTCAAAAACAGTTCAATTTTGCTTTCCTATTTGCCTGTCAATAGTATAGTGGCTCCTCCTTCCAGTGTGGCAATTCTGTTCTGGGCCACAGGCCTGGCCTGTGTTCTTCTGGATGTCAACCATTAAAAATTCTTTCGTTGGTGTGCGGTGTGCTATATAAGCATGCATGACACTAGTGTTCCCCCCTCACTTGAATGAGACAAATTTGCTTCCATGACAGTTGTGAAATTGACCTCCCCTCTAAGCCCCAGTACCTACTGTGGGGCCTGGTGCTCAGTGGGTGGTGTCTCAGTGTGATTCTCCATGAATTTAATCAGGCACAAATGTGTCTCTGCTATTGAAGCATTGTCTAATTCAAGAGAGAAACTAGAAAGTCTGGAAGACAGACGAGTCGGAGCAGTTTGGGATCACTCAGAGTGTGGGAAGCTTCCTTCTTTTGGTAGAGGGACCTACTAGAGATGTGGGCTCTGCTGGCTATTGCTGTATGCAGGCCCTGTTCGTCACCAGAAGAATGACTCAAAAACGGGCCCCGGATAAAGCAAAATGGGAGGCTAATTAATGAGTAGCCTGGATAAATTAGACAGGCCTGGTTGGCTTTGTACTCCTTCTTCTCCGGTTTCTACGCATCTTAGAAAAATAAGGACAGACGTGAGGGCAACACTCAAATGTAACAGAAATGTTCTGCATACATGCAGGGGTCAGTGAGGGAACATAGAGCACATCCAATTCTCCTCTGGGGACTCACTGAAGGGAGCAGTTACATGCCTTGGAACACTCAGCAAGAGGACAGCTGAAGGCCTGTGCAGCCCGTCTATGCATCCCAGTTCAGCCGCTGAGCTTGTATAACACAGAGGAAGCAAGGCCCTGGCCTTCCACCTAGACCAGAACAGAGCTGACAGGCGTTTGGAGGGATCAACACAGATTCTGTTTTGTATCCAGACACTACTTCCCACTACTAATAAAATCTGCATCCCGGCGGTTTGCTTTCCACCTCAGAAACAGAGGGGCTCCCTGGAGAAGAGAGGTGCATGTCCCCACCAACACAACCGAAGCTCTGACTTGGGAAATGTTGGAGCCCTGAGAGGCACCAGAGAAGCAATAGCTTAATTAGACACACATTGCTCCATCAAGTCGTTATTTATTCAATGTGGTTCATTCAAATACAAGGGAAAATCCCGAAAGGCAACCAAACAAAAGCTCTCCCTCTGCCACCCCATTGTACTCGACACAGGCCATGAGTGAAACAGATGGGGGGTGGGGGGGATATGTTCTTGATTGCAGGGAGACACAGCGAGAAGTTTTCAGAGGTGGCTTTGGGCAGTAAGCACATGGCAGTCTGTATTTTCTCCCTAACCACTCACTATTCCACGTTTACAGACTTTTGTGACATGACATATGTGTCTAAATAAAGGGGTTTAAACTTACAGACGTAAGTCATAAAGAGTCACCGGTGCCTAGCGATTGCTCATAAGATGTGACCCTCACCTACCCCAAAAGGTACCTTCCAAATAATGACACTCCCTCCTCATCTAAAGACTCGTCTTCTGGTTTTGTTTTCTCTATCTTCTGAAGCAGGTTTGTCTTTTTGTATATACTGTTAATATGCGTGGGGCGGGGGAGCTGCTCTGTCTGCTGTGGATTTGTTGCCTTGAAAGCATGCAGTTCAATCCACGTAACCCATGTAACAAGGGTGGGCGTGGTGGTAAGTTCTACAAGACTAGTGCTGGAGAGACAGAGACAGGCAGAGATCTGGGGGCCACTGGGGTCAAGCTTATCCTATTTGGTGACCTCCAGGTTCAGTAAGAGATGCTGTCTCAAAAAGCAAGGTCCGTAGTGTCTGAGGAAAAACACCTGAGGTTGTCTTCTGGCCTACACAAAACACACACACACACACACACACACACACGCATGCATGCACGCATGCACACACCTTTTATATAAATGGGCTCAAGATGTTCGTGTTGTCTGAGTCTGGCTTCTGTCCAGTGTTATACATTCTAGATTCTTTTGTAGTACACAGCTCCTCACCTTCGTCCTCCAAGCTAAGCTTTTGGGAAACAGCCTCCTATACTTGGGGTGTGACAGAGCATAGGACATCGGCCCACTAGTGCCTTTCTATTGTGTTGGCTTAGGCTATGCAGCCCTGGCTGCTACTGGTTGCTATGCAAAAGTAGATAGCATGCCATCCCTGGCTGCTGGACTCTCATGCAGGATCTTAGTGGGTCTGTGTGTTCACCATCTGTCTCAAGACCCCAGGAAGGTGTGACTTTTCTTAGTTCCATCTGGGATCTTGGTTGACATTACAGAAACAAGACTCTGCAACTCTGGAAAGTGCATGCCTGAAGGTTTAATCACAGGTGCCAGTTGGCTGGAAGTTGGCTGACAACCTTGAATTAGCATGTTGAGTTCATGTAGGCGGAGGCTGCTCATTTGTTTCCGGCTGCCCAGACCCAAAATAATCATACAGAAACTGAATTATTACAACACTTCTTGGCCTATTAGCTCACTCTTTTTATTGGCTAGCTCTTATATCTTAAATTAACCCGTTTCTATTAATCTGTGTATCACCACGTGGCTGTGGCCTACCTGTAAGATTCCATCCAGTGTCCAGCGTCTGGTGTCTGTCTCCACATGCCTTCTCCCTGACTCTGCCTACTCTTTCCTCTTCTTTCTGTTTGGAATGTCCTCCTTGCCCTATTCTGTGCTGCAATAGGCCCAAAGCAGCTTTTTTATTAACTTACAGCATACAGAGGGGATCCTACATCAAGTTTACATCCTGACCGGAGCTCATGAAAAATTAAAAATCACCAGACTTTCACATTTTCCATGGATAAAGAGAAAGACATGCAACATACTGACATATTCTGACATTTAAAAAATTATTATGACAGCTAGAAACAGTGGTACACACTTAATCCCAGGAACTGGAAGGCAGAGGCAGATGGATTTCTGTGAGTTTGAAGCCACCCTATTCCACATGACATTGCAGGTTAGCCTACGATTAAGTTACCTTAGAGGGAAAACTCTATGAAAATAAATAACTATTTTATGTATGTGTGTATGTATGTAGGCATGTATATAAAGATTCATTTATGATGTCCTATGTTTCTGTTGCTGTGGAGTATTCCTTTTCACTGTCTGAATGTATGCTGATGTGATTGCTTTAATAAAGAAGCTGGCTGGCCCATAGCTGGGCAGGAAGAGATTGGATAAAAGAGCCAGGCTAGGAGAATGCTAGGAAGAAGAAGGGCAGAGGAACATGCCATGCTAATAAATATAGCAAAAAGATCCTGAGTTTGAGGCTAGCCTGGGCTACATAGCAAGTTTCAGGCCCTCTTAGGTTATATAGAGACATCCTGTCTCAAGAGGAGGAGGAGAAACAGGAGGAAGGGAAAGAGGAGGAGTAGCAGGAGGAGGAGGAAGAAGAGAAAGAGGGGCAGGAGATGGCAGAGGAAGTGTTATAGTGGGAGACAGAAATGCAGAAAGAAGAGCAGCTGGTTCCAGAAGGCTTTTCAAGTGTTCTCCATTGGTATTGTCTCAGACTGACAGGGGCTGAATTTCCACAATCACTCGTTATACCTGTGAAAGTCTTTCAGAAGCCCTCAAGAAAGAATGCTGTGCCACATTAAAGTGCAGATACTGGTCTCTGTAGGGCTACTTGCTAAATCTCTTTGGGATGGTAACTTAGCCGAAGTTTTAATACTGTGAACAATTAATATCCAATATTCTTAAGTGTGTTCCTCACAGAGTGATCAAAAGAAAAAGGCCAAGGGATAACAAAGAGGGTTTGCAGTTGTACCTCTGACTGATTCTATTTATCTATAACCAACTATGTAAGAATAAAGAAATAATTAAGTGAAATATAAATATTCCGTTGATTGCTTTGAATGCTTAATAAATGATAATAGCAACTCCCTTAATTAGGTTTCATTGTCAATTTAACACAATCCAAAGTCACCTGGGAAGAGGGAACTGTAAGTGATGGAGGTTTGTGGGTATGTCTGTGAAGGATTAGTCTTAGTCTTGACTTTCATTGGTGCCAGAGGACCCAGCCCACTGTAGGTGGCGCCATCTCTAGAAAGGTGGGCATAGGCTATATTTAAAACCCTTCTGAGCAGGAGTCAGATGCGGGGAGGAGCGCAGTCAACACCCATGACATCACAGCTCATGCTCCAGTTCCTGCTAGAGCTCTTTCCCTGACTTCCTCAGGAATGAGTTTGACCTGGAAGTAAAGACAACATAAAGACATTCCACCCCCAAGGTTCTTTTGATCACATAATTTATGACAGTGATAGAAAAGCAGACTAGGGCAGCACGGCCACATTGGCTCCGTTTTTTTCTGCAAAATTTAGAAGGTAGAATTCCGAAAGATTTCACTGATGGGTGAAATAAATTAGAGATTTGAAATTTTTTCTGGTGGATAAAGTATGGATGACTTTGGTTCCTATATCTTAAATTGCCTTTCAGTTTGGCTTGGTTCTCTCTCTCTCTCTCTCTCTCTCTCTCTCTCTCTCTCTCTCTCTCTCTCTCTGTGTGTGTGTGTATGTGTTTGTTCATTCAAAACGGAGCAGTTTTATTATCTGCCATCTCTAACCCTCACAAAGTTAAAAACTAAGCTTTTGTCATTGGCAGTCATCACTTTCTGAAGGAGGGTCGATGGAAGGATGCAACAGAGGGAAGCAGGTAAAACACAGAACATCCCTGAAGGAATGGAGGATGACCAAGAGCTCACAAATTCTGTTGAGAGGCAGCCTCAACATCCCCTGGCTTCTTGCTTTAAAGCATGCTATTCTTGGCAGCTGCCTTCATCAGCATATGTGAAAATATTATCCAGAGCGCATCCTATATTTTCAGAAATGTGACATGATAGCATCCCCAAAGGAAAGGGATTTAGTAGTGAACATCCATCAATTTTCACTTGCTGGACTCCCCGAGGCAAGACCTTCTGGGTCATGTCAATATTTTTTCCCTCTAGCAACAGAACTGGAAGACTCGGGGCAAGGCAGCATCTCTGCATCCCCTCATCATTTCTTCCTCCCCCTCATTCCACCATCTTCCTCACCGTGGTGCAGGCAACGTGGCAGGGGGCAAAGGCGGCTGTTATTGCTTTTCTGAAGGGAAATAATGTCAAAGATAAACAATCTTTATAGATTTAACCCAAATGTTAGTCATAAAACAATCTCCCAATGCTTGGATATGCAATCCGGCATCCCGTGCCAAGCTAATACTGTCAACAGGAACCATGTCCAGCTTTCTAAACTGTCTTCAGCTGAACAAAGGGCAGCTTGCCGTATCCGAGGAGGCTAACACTCTCATACAAGACCAAAAGCACATTTGCCTGGATTTAATTCAGCTAGATCTCAATGCGTGTTTCACTCTGACACTAGACTGGAGTTGGCAAAGTGGAAACCCTGTTGAAGGCTTCTTCTGCAGAAGACGTAAAGGGTTGGTCCAACCAGCATTGTCCTGTCTGAACAGTGTGCAAAGTTCTCCCATCCCCTGTAACACTTGGCCTGCTTGGTAGCTATGTATGTGCTATTCATTCACGGTGCAGGGAAAGCCACATACTTGGCTTCTGAGTCACAGCCCACAAGCTCCTGGGATTCAGAACTTCTGAACCTGGGGAAGACGATGGTTGACTTGGCTTTGCTGCGGTGGCCACGTGAGTTAAAGGCAGTATATTTTACTTAATTAACTAAATACTTACAACTGTATTTCCACAAAGACAAGCTGATGGCTGCAGCTAGCCACCACTCAGTGAGAAATTTCTTCATCGGTCAAGTTGCCCACCATGATATCACAAGAAGCTGTTGGTCCCACGTAGCTCAGCTACCTTCCCAGTCAGTGGTGTTCAGAAGAAGAGCTGGAATTTCTTAATCCCAAGAAAAAATTGCCATACATTATATAAAATTATTTAATTTGACCACTCTTTTATCCTGCTGGACCTGCATGCTGCACACTATCAATGTTTTCTCTTTTATGAGTAGATGGATTTGGTTTTAAAAGCCATAGTATGTACTTATTGTACAACACTGTACTACATACGGGTATTTCCATATGCGTATGTCTTTTATGCTATGCATATTCCTGCACTTCCTTTTGTTCTCTTTTCTTCCCACTGCCCCCTCCCATTAGTTTCCTTTGTTCTCCTAGACAGTTTTGCTTCTAATTTTGTATCCTAGATACATATATGATTTTATGCCTATATAAAATCTAGGTACTACAGATGAGAGAAAACATGCAATATTTTTATAGGGAAATGCTTCTATAAGGGGAATTTCTTCACAAGGCTCCAATATTTGTTTAGAGCTACCCTTTGTACCTGAACAAGAAACAAGACAAATGAGACTTCAAACACAAACGCGACAAGCCTTGGGACAAGAGTTTAAGCAAACATGAAGACTAAGTAACAGGGACTTGGCTCCTGGCCTCCCCTCTCTTTCTTCTCCCCTCTGGCGGCTTCATCAGTCAGCTGAAAATGAGAAGGAACAAGTGTGACCACGTCTCCTGTAGCCTACAGCGCAAGCAGCCAGGTGAACAAGGAGGGGACAGCGGGGTCAGCTACTCACCTGTAGTCAAGGGTCAAAGGGAAGCCGGTTTCATCCACTCACCTAGTTTTAAGGTTGAACGATTGTAAATTGAGACCATTCCTGGTGAAATAAAGGCCAGGGGTAATAAGTATCACACTGAAAAGACAGGGAGATGTGCGCCTCAGACTGAAAGGATTGTAAGGGAAAGGGGGGCCGTCTCTGCTTCGTGCTGTCAGCTCAATTTAGGAAAAATTCCTGGTAAACGGGGTTATGAAGCAAACGAGGAAAAATGAGACGCCTGCGACACGGTCTAATGGGGGACACAGCTAGCAGCTAGGTGAACTGGCCATCGAAGGGACCCCTTTGGCACTCCGGTCTTCTTTCTCAGAGCATGAGAGTCAGGCTTGAACAACGGGGGCTCAATGAAATGAGAAAATTCTCAGAGGAGTTAAAATGCAACCATGGCCTGAAGAGCTGCTTTAAGAGCAGTGAGGATACAATCAACAGCGCAAAGGCCTGGATGTGACGTGGAGTGCAGAGAAAAAGAACTCGGAGATGCAGAGCAAAACGGAGGAAGAAAAAAAAAAAAAAAAAAAAAAAGGAATGAGGACAGAAGACCGTAGATAGGTGGGAGAGAGGACAGTGAGACCCTGATTGGTGTTGATGACTAAAAGTCTGGATGCAGACTGTGGAAACAGCACAGATTCTTCTATTGATATTTGAAAATGGCAAAGGTGCACTTCTCGGGGCTTTTATCTTATTCATCCCACCCATGTCTTGCTTCTTTGGACCACTGGGAGTACAAAGTACTGTCACGAATACCTTGCTAGTAAGTGGGTTCTGGAGCTTTGAACTTCAATCTTTAAGCTTGTAGAACAAGTGCTTTATCCAATGGACCATCTCCCCAGCTCTGAGTGATGTTCTAAGAGCTCAACTTCTTTTGTCTCATTTTTTCTAAAGGACAGTGAATGTGTACCAAGGGCTTGGATGAAAGAGTGGAGGCTCCAGTAGGAGCGCGTTCTTGAGTGCAGGCCTGAAAGGGTCTGGGTCATTCTATTTCATTGCTATGGCTTCAGGAAGCCTCTGGTCATAGGTTATGAATCCTTTCCTGTAACCGCTTGTAGTTATTCACTGTTTGTAGTGAGATAAATTTCCCCAGTGCCTTCAGAACACACCAGATACGTCACTGGGCATCATCATGAACGTTTAAATTATATACCGTATTCTGTGTTATTTTACAAGGTAACATTTCTCATCTGTGGTTCAGAAGAGAAACCAGTCAGGACATGCTATCTAGAAGGGCAAGTTAATAGCACACAACCAAGATAATGTAATTTTAAAAGCCAGTGCTCTGCATAGCCTAATACCTGGGATCTGGGCCCAGCCTCACAATTCTGTTATTAGCTTCCCTGAACCACTTTTCACGTCTGTTAAAATCTGATCACAGCGCTTCTGATTTTATAAGGTAGCATTTCTAAAGGTGGCTTTTAATCTGTCCCATACAGTATAGATGTGAACATCTTCCGCGTTCAGTCCAACAGCTGACTCCAACACAAGGGTTTTAATGATCAGGATCATCTCCCACATCCTCCCTGACTTCTCCATCTTTACAGGTCTACATACTCACTGCAGACTAAAATTCAATACCATAAAAGCCAAGACACTCTTTCTTTTTACTCTATTTGCAAAAGTACCAATACTGGAGATGACAGATTTTTTTTTTTTTTTTGCTGTTGCTTGCTTGCCTGTTTACCTTGGGAAATATGGTCTCTCAGTAAGCAGCTACTTCCCAGCATCTAGGGAGGCCCCATATCTTGGAAAGAGGGAGGGCACGAGACAAGGCTACCAAATAATGTTAAAAAGCTATGCATGTCCTACACAAGGGCACTCAGCCATGGCAGTAAAGGGCTTTGAAGTCCATCATGTCGTGCCTCTGGCCTAGATGTGTATTCCAATCTGAGACCACTTCCCTTCAGAGAAAGGAAAAAGGGTTTTCCTCACTTTAAACAGCAATAGTACTTGGTAATGAAGCCTTAACCTAAAGTGGATGTTGTCCATTCATTGTCTGAGGGACAAGAGACAACAAGCATACATTTAAAATCTTTTATTATTCAACATGGAAATTACAAACATTACCAAAAGGCATAATCAAGCATAAAAGAAAGACAAGACCCTGCAGAGGCAGAGTGACCAGGAACTCCTCCATGTTGACCGCAGCTCTTCCCACCTCACCGTCAATCAGCTCAGGTTAAGCACTTGACATCAGCCCCAAAGGACAGTTTACAACACAGACACACAGGCAAAGGCTGCGAGTCCGGGCTCTCCTGGCACCCCTTTGGAGACTTAGCTGTTAAATCTTTACCACCAGCAGCTTGAAAGCAAGCTCTAAGGGATTTGGAGTCTATTAAGAGCCTTTGGTGTGGTCCCTGGCATCCTTGCAACCTTCTGATACAGTGGTTATTACTTGGTTTCATGTTGGACATTATTAAGAGTCTTCAAGATGCTTTCTGCTCCAGGTCTCACCGAGGCAGTTAGAAAGAGGCACGGCTGGAAGCCCAGGCAGTGTGTTCTGGCTGACTCTATAGCCCATGGACTTTCCAGTAGATTCTGTGCTTTTGCAGAAATGGAAACTTTGTGATGGCAAGATAGCCCACACACAGCACTTGCTGTGAACCTCCAATCTCCTCTGCATGTTTCCTCCCAGTGACACTTGGGTGTCTGAAAAGCCACTGTAGCACTTGCAGGACATCTATCAGGCCAGCCCCATGGCCCGGCGACTCTGAAGTCAGCCTCCCCAGTACACTGACTTCTTCAAAGGAATCGCTGCAGCTCAAGCCAGAGTTGGGTTCGGCATCCTCTCTGAGCTTCTTGACAAGGAGAAGATATATCTCTGCACCTCGGGTGGCAGCGGAGCCCAGAGCAGGCTCACAGGAGTGTTCTATCAATTATACCACCCCTCCGGGAGCCTCATTAGCATGAAAATGTCGGAGAAGAACAGCTCAAGACTCCAATAATGAAAAGTCCCCTGGGAAGGCTTCCTCGAATTTACGGGGAAGAGAAAGTGTCCACCTTGCTTCTCCCTCTGCACATAATTCAAAGAGAGGAGATTCTTTTTGGACTCTTTATGTAAATTATCTCAGCAAATGAGGGGCCATCCAGAATGGATTGCCCCAGGCCAAGATCCACAGACGCAGTGTGGAGATGGCAGATGCTTAGTGTCGTTTCCCCTGTTTAACTCCCACAAGGGCGGAAAGCTGAATACTGTCTCCATTTTAAACACCGAGTAACCCAGGTCGACTCAGCTACCACAAGTAGGTAGCACAATAGCCAGTTTCAAAAAACAATCTTAAGGGTACTGCTTCTTAGCCCATTGGCCCTTCTTGGCCACACACTCTCTTTGCTGTTTCAATTACAGTCACTCACTGTCCCAAATATTAAGGAGAAAAAAAAATCCAAAAATAAATTATTCATACATTTTAAATTACATGCTGCTCAGCAGATGGATCAGCCATTTTACCAGGTGTCTCTACTGTATATGGTGCCCATCTATCTTAGTTTTATTTCCGGCTGGTGTGATAATGTCATGGCACAAGCAATTTAGGGGAGAAAAGGTTTATTTTAACTCATTGCTCCGAATTGTAGTCCGGCAGGAGTTTGAGGAAATTATTTATATCACATAACCAGGAGCAGACAGCAATAAATGTATTCAGGCTAGTGTCCAATTTGGTCTTTCTAGTCTTATATAGTTCAGCATCCTCTTCCTAGGGAATGGTGCCACCCTTAGTGGGCAGGTCTTCTCATTTTCCTAACTTGATCAAGGTAAACCCCTACAGATGTACCTACAAGTCAGTCTCATCTGGATGATCCCTCACTGCTACCTTCTTCTTAGGTGACTCTAGATTGTGTCGAGTTGACAATTCAACACCACCTGTTACTAATTTGATAACCAAGATGGTTATCAAATCTTGGTTATCAAATCAGCTACGGTGATTCAGCAGTGTTTGTATTCTTACATACCTTGCTAATAGTCCCTGTTATGGTTTAAATTTGAGATGGCCTACACAGAGGTTCATGTGTTTGAACACTTGGTCCTCAATTGATGGCACTGTCTTTGAATGTCATGGGATCTTTAGGAGATAAAACCTTGCTGGACTTGAAGCCTTCACATCTTCAGACTTAATAGTTCAGGTCCACTTTTGGTGCTCCCTTTGCTTTTGGCCTGTGGATACGATGAGACCATCTGTCTCACACTCCTGCCCTTTCTAACTGCAGTGGACTATAGCTCTGTAAGCTGGAAACAAAAATAAGGTCTCCCTCACTTCAGACGCTTCCTGTCAGTAATTTGATCACAGAAAAGAAAAGCAAGACAGTTCCAAAGCAAGGTTATGATGCTGGAGTTCCGGATATGACAAGAAAGGACAGTGTGTGTGTGTGTGTGTATGTATACACTATATACTATATATAGTACATATACATATATAGTATATATGCTTTATACTATGCATACAGAATTTATTTTAGGCATTGCTGGATTCTTCAGACACATTCCTCAACTCTATCTCCTTTGCCTTTCCCACCTACCTGGTCTTACAACAGAGATTCTTCACCAGTAATTATGCTTCTACAGGGAGTGGAATCTTCCAACCCAAGCTTGCTATCCTCCTCAGGGCCTCTATTGTGAGGCATTACACATGGCCACTGCCGACATCACAAGTAAACACACACGCACATAATGGGCCCGGCACAGTGATCTATCTGATATCTGTGTCAGTCCTAGCAGAGGCATTTCTGTTTTTTTGAATTTTTATGTCTTTCACATCCAAGAGGAGTTCTAGCTCAGAGTTCGTCCACCAGTAATGGATGATTTAAGCCAGAAGGCAAACCCTCCCCAGACTATCAGTGCTAGATTTTCTAAAAGGCACTGCGTTTGTCAAAAATGCCCTTGCGTAGGTTTATTGCTCTAGTAGCCATGTGACCATTTCACTTCTGCTTGTGTTGTTTGTTTTTATCACTTGTTTTTCTGTTCTGAGAAGACTAAAAAAAATCACAGGAATCTCCCTCTCACACACAGACTTAGTGTTCACTAGAATACGAACACAAGGAGGGACAATAAACAGCAATTCCATGTACTTTTCAGAGCTAAGTGTGGGGAGCACTAGAGATGCTGAAGACACTCAGACTCATGTTTGTGTTGCTCAGGGAGGTCACCATTTTTTCCTGCAGAAGCAGACCTTGCCTCTAAGCTTCAATGATAATTTGAGCATTTTTAAAGAAAGCTGAAGAGAAACATCAAGGATACTGACTTACATCCTGCCCATTGACTTTGCCCAGACTAGAAAGCAAAAGTATCTATTGTTCATCCATCATGTAAGAGTAAATGTGTAGGTTACACCATCTGTGCACATGATCTAGAAATAGCCACATTAGAAAGCTCATAATTTCACTTATTCATTCCCTTTATGCTTGCTCAGCCAAGTTGGGGACGCTCAGGAGTTAAAGAAAAAAAAAATTACTCCATTGGAAAAAACACCAAGATGTGAACCACATTAAGTATTAAAAACAGAACAAATGTATTACCAGGAAAAAAAAGCTAGACTTGGAATTTAAAATGAGTGTGTAAGTGTGTGTGTGTGTGTGTGTGTGTGTGTGTGTGTGTTCACATGTGTTCAAACACTTGTCCTTAATTGGCTCAGGAAACCCAATCTTTTCACCTCTTAAAACCTTAATTTCTTAATCTGTAAAATGGACCAAAGTCTTATGAACTCACCCTGGCCTTGTTATGAGGCTTCAAGGGAACATTGCCCATCAAAGTGCCTCCCAGAGCTCTAGGCAGATGGCAGACAGTCACTCAATGTGGTTAAATCTCATCGTAAAGGAGAACGGCTGCCCCAAAGAAATTCAAACAGAAACTAATTACATAAACCAAGCCTTTGAATGATAGGCAGTAAAAAGAAAAACTGTGTTGCCTCTTTACTTTTCTAATATATATATATANAATTACATAAACCAAGCCTTTGAATGATAGGCAGTAAAAAGAAAAACTGTGTTGCCTCTTTACTTTTCTAATATATATATACATATATATATATAGTATAGTGTTATATATATAATAATATATAGTATAGTGTTAGCGGTTGGGGCTGCTCCCTTTTCAAAGTTGCTGCCATGGAAACTTAAGGCTGGCTTTAGGAAACAAAACAAATTACTACATTAAAAACACTTGTGTCTTTTAAAATAAACTCCCAAACCTGTGGATTGTTCTAAGAAAAGCCTATTACAAATTTCACCCCTTTAAAAATACCAATAATGTTTTGAGATCCAACATTGAGAAATAAGGAAAAGTGGACACTAGCAAGGGCGATGAGCTTATGAGAATGTCACGGATTCTTTGGGCAGTAGCCCTTCATCTCCAAAAAGGAGTTGAGCTGAGACTCACAGAAGTCCTGGAAGTTCCTGGCTGCAGAGGTGACCTCCTGCTCTGCCTGCTTCAGGGTTCAAGTTTCTCCTGCTTTGATGACCTCGGAGTGTCTCTACCTAAGGGTCTTCTTTCCTTCTAATACTGTCCTTGCTGTACCAGTCTTGACAAACTCCCAGTAGGCTATGAATCCAAGATACTTCCCCACCCCTTTCATTTCATCAGAACTGTAGGGCCAGGCCATGATAGACACTCAGATACCAAGTTCAATTATATACTCAAAGAAGGTATTTTCTGATTCTTCACTATACCCGACTCGATCTCTCCAAGAACACTTCCCTCCATCCAGGAACCCAAGTCAGAAACAGGAAAGTAGACCTAAACTCACCTTTTACTCTCCTTAGCTCTCCAGTCCAAGTCTTATTGGCCTAGCTTCCAAATCTTCATGAGTCAGCGCTAGGCTTCCCTGTCTTCAGATTCACGGGCTCTCCTTCGTGCTATCGCTAATATTGGAATGTCCGCAGACCAGCTGCATCCAAACACTGACTAGATTGCCAAACGATAGAGGAAACACCTGAGGCAGAACACGAGGCAGGAAGTAACTTAGTACGAGGGAAGCCTGCAGGGAAACAAACCTACCAACCAGATCACATAGCCAGTGATAGCAAGACTAACAGAAATGAATTCTAGGAAGTCCAGGCAACTAGCACCTATCTCACAGAATCCCCTCACCCCCAGAAAGTCCCAGGCTAGACCTCTCTTCCATGGTGTCCAGCCATGCTTGTCCTCGCCATGACACTGCTAAGTTCTAGCTGAAACCAAAACCTTGAATCCTCTTCCCTGTGCTCCTTCGTCGCAAAGCTACCACAAGTGAAGAGGTTCCCCGGTTAGACTATATAAGCAGTGATCCTATTGGTTTGCTAGCTTGGAACGAGCGGCCAGCATTCCTAGGAATAGCTCACTAAGTGTACATGTCGGGAGAGGTTCTCCTCTAGGAAACACAAGTGCGATCCCTTCCCAGCACACAGGAGAAGGAGTAAAGGACCAGCTAAGTAGCCTTTATGCAAGCGTTCTGGTTGCCGCCCACTCTAGTCTCTTTCGTGGCTTCCTTGACTTGTCTAGAGTCTTAGGAATTGAAAGACCATTTCAGGTATCCCATTACCCAGTATCTATTTTTTCTCAGGGATCATACAAATACATTCCTTAATGGGCCTTTCTAGCCGTGAACTTCAAGCTGCCTTCCACATGGCAACCATAGTGAAATCTCTAAAAGGCAAGTGGGACCACGACACCTTGCTGCCTGGGTTGTAGGCAAGATAACTTGGCCTCCTAGTTAGTTGTAGCCGTCCACTTGACCCTGCCTAGAGTCAATGAGAATGGAGAATGGAGTCTCAAATGAAGAATTGCCTAGGTTAAAGTAGCCTATGGGGACCGTGGGGACTGTCTTGACTGTTAACTGATATGGGAGAGCCAAGCCCATTGTGGGGGGTGACACCATTCCTTGGGCAGGTCCTGGGCTAGAAAAGAAAACTAGTTTAACATAAGACCCAGTGAGTCAATAAGCTGTGTTCCTTCATGGTTTCTGTTTCAAATTCCCGCTTGAATTCCTACACCGACTTTCTTCCTTGATAGACAGTAACAAGATCAACATCTTATGCTTTCCCCAGACTCCTTGAAACAAAACAGAATACTTAGGGCATGGTGTGAACCTGCTCATTGAACATAATGGAATCAGGGCCGGAGAGGAACATTTATTGCTTTTGGTACAAAATAAGATATAACTTGTGGCTGAGATGGAGGATGAATTCAACCCATGTTTTTTTAAATTAAATTTTATTTATTTTACATCTTGACTTCAGCTTCCCCTCCTTCCCCTCTTCCCATTCCTTAGCTCCACCTTCCCTCTGTACCCACTCCCATTCACTCCTCCTCTGCTTCTCTTCAGAAAAGGGCAAGCGTCCCATGGGCATCAACAAAGGATGGCATATCAAGCTGCAGCAGGACTAAGCACCTCCCCTTGTGTTAAGGCTGGGCAAGGCAAGGCAACCCAGTAGGAGGACTAGGTTCCCAAAAGCAAGCCAAAGCATTAGACAGAGAGACAGGCCCTGCTTCTGCTGTTAGAAATCCCACAAGTAAATCAAGCCACACACTGTCGTCACATGTATATTGAGAGCCTAGGTCAGTCCCGTGCAGTCTTCCTGGCCGTCTGTTGTTTTTAGTCGGTGCTTTATGACAACAGAAAGGATAACACTTGGCATTTCACCTGTCTACCTCTGTGTCATCTTGCTCTGCTCATGACAAAGACTCCAGCAGTGATGCTAAGCAGTTATTTCTCTACAGCTATTGGTATCCTACCAACATAAGCCATTCCGCCCTCTTGTCTATTCTTTTGCACTAACTGCCTTCTTTCCTTCTGGCAGTCCTCCGGTACTCAACTAGGAAAATAAGCACCTTAAGAAATCTGAAGGTGACTTCACTAAGCCACTTCTCAAAGGCATCTCCATTCCTTCCCTGGTCACCAAGAACTAACTTTCTTTTCGCATTAATCTAAATTCCTTCATAGAGCAAAACACTAAGCGGTATAATGTGATCTTAGAATAAAGATTCTGAGTTCAGATCCGTGGACTTAATATCATGTCTCTCCTGCTTACTCGCCAGCAGCAATCTAGAGTCTTTGCCCAGTTTCTTAGGTTTTAAAAATAAAAAAAAAAGATTATAAAAATACAGAACACAGAATTCAATGAGCTTTGAGCTAAAGGATGAGGAATCCGTCGCACAAAGGAGAGCACAAAGGCCCCACTGGTGAGAAGGAAGCACTGAATAATTCAGATCCTTGAGCCCTGCAATAGTCGCTCAGCCTGGGATTAGAGCTTCATAGAGAAAGCAGGGAAGCCCCAGAGTTAACACGTGGTGCCTGGCAGCCCTCATTAGCTAAGAGCTGCTTTATTTCTCCAGCCCATTTGGATCCTTGCCAGAATCTACTATCACACTGAAGCCTTGGCTGAGATGTCAAAGCCCCACAGAGTGGTGAAAAGGATATATTGGCAGGACCTCAAGAGTCTAGCAAAAATGCTGAGGGTGGCAGTCTGGCAGGAGGCTTCTCATGAGGCCCTTAACCAAAATGGCGGGCCACTGGATAGACCTTATGGAGCATGTCCATCCAGGAATGCAGACTTCCTGTCAAGCTTGACGTGTCTTTGGTTCAGCATGAGATGCATTTGCCAAATGAACAGATTTGAAGATTGCACTGGCCTTAAAAATGGATTTTTGCATTATAGCAAAGAGCTACAATGATTTATGAGTTTGTCAGAGAACGGATGTTGCTACTAATGGAGAAAATCCTCCCAGTTCCACAGCATCATGAATTACAAATGAACGAACGGGTGATGTGTATGCATGTGTGTCCATGTGTGCACACAGGCATCTCGGTGCTCGTCCCCTTTGCTCTCGGCCTCTGTGGTCTGGAAGCCAGCTCCACTGTGTGCCGTCACTGACGCTGGGAGCAAATTGTAATTATAATGCCTACCAGCCATTCCAAGACAAACCAAATCTGTGTCCCATTAAAGTCAAAGAATAGTTAAACAGTGTGTGTGTGTGTGTGTGTGTGTACATATATGCATACATATTTCCCAACCATAATACAAAACAGGTTTCTCAGTCAGTCTGATGCCACAGAAGCCAGCGGATTCCACACGGTCTCTTCTGGCATATTTGGAACCAGATTCTGGTGGCGTCCCAGGCAATCAGCAGGCGTTCAGGCTAGCACACAGTTTATCATCTTTGCTGTGGTTTGGACAGCAGCTACGTGGAAGTCCCAGAGTGGTAATTGATTTCCTCCCCCAGGATACCAAGCTCCCTTGCCAGCTACCAAGCACACGTCCCCTTGGTGGGTCCTTGCGGGGTGTTAGATGAAGTCATAGAAATGTGAACCACCGCCATTGAAGCAAGAGGTGAGAAGCTGACCTTTGTCAAGGGCCTGCTTCTAAAAGAAACAACTAATCATGTCTCTATTAGTTCACAAGGATAAGTCAGAGGCACATTTTTGTAATATGTTCTTTGAGATGGCATCTTCATAAATATCCACCAACTCTATTATCCCGGTATTATACCTGTGTGTTCAGGATGCACTCTTCTGGCAGAGGTAACTTTTCAAAGCATGTTGCAATCAGTAGAACACTAAAAGGACTCTTCCACTCTCTACAGAAAGCTCAGTTCTCATGCAACCTTTCCATTGTCTTCAGCATTTTGTAAGCGTGTGAAAATTACCCTTGGATTTTACAGCACAATTTTAACAATTTTTTTTCCTTAATCTTTTAAAAAAACTTGTTTCACTGCGATTTGAACCCATGACTTTAAGCAAATCTAGCAGGTATTCTGAGTCTGAACTACAGCCCCAGCCCTTAAATTGCAATTTTAAAAGCCACCACTCTTAACACTAAAACATCGTAGTCCTTCACCCCGCAAAGCCACCATTGTCTATAGAGCAGGAGAGCCCAGCTGCCACTCTGTCTCCTTCCGTGGGAAGTGATTGTCCATAACCTGATCAGCATGTCCTTTAAACTTTTAAATGATAATTTCTTTACTCTTAACGAATTGTGTGCACTTATCTGTGAGATTTGAAATGATTTTTCTCATATATAGATAACTTGTGAAAGAGCTAAATCAAGCTAAATTAACAGATCATCCTCTTGTATATTCATCATTTCCTAATAAAATACAGTATCTACTAATAGTGGTTTTTGAGGATATTAGTTCACCTTTCAATAGTTTCCCTTAATTTTTCAGACACACAGAACTCTGATAATGTTCGTGACGCTAAAATTTTACCTACTGCTGAATTTTATGTTTTACATATACACACAGCAAGGGAATTTGGGGCTTTTTTTTTTTTTTTTTTTTAGATTCAAGCCCACAAGTTGTGGGGTTGTTTTGTTTGTTTTTTTTCGGTTTCTCTCTGATGAAGGGCAAGTTCCTGTTGTGTGACTTTGGCAAGATGTGGACCCAAGATTGCTCCTTGTTCTTATCTTCTCCCCTTCCTTCTGACTTCCAGCTTCCTCTTCAGGAGCCCCTCCATCTGCTGCCTATTTCTACCCCTTAGCTTAGACGGTGGTTGGTTCAGTGGTTCCAACCCCGTCATTCCTTCACATCCTTTCTTTGGAGACTCTGTTCCTGCTGGATCTATTGATGAGAAGATGGCAATTGTGTGTAAGATGTAATTTCATTCTGGTCTTTTGTTGGTTTGCCCCCGTCCCCTAATGTCAAATATAATCCATAATTCTAAACAGTGATTCCTTCAAACGGTCTACTTACGCATAGGATTTTCCTCTACATTCCTCAAGAAATGACAGTCCAGGCCATAGAACACTAAAACCGCAGGGGAATTGGAACAGCATTAAGGAGCATGTTCTATCCCCCGGGGTAAACCACACCGCACTCAAGGAATCTCCTGGGGTTTCCCCAGAAAGACAAAGTTCTTTCCCTCACTTCCCAGGCATTTTATGATGGCTTCCTTCTCTTCTGAAAAGATCAGATCACTCACTGTCCATTTCTGCTCCTGTCTTTCTGTTTCTAGGCTGTAGGATTTCTCACCATGATCCCAGTTTACCACACCTCTGGTGTCCACGCTCTGGTCCGCACTTTCCTCCTTCATGGCGCACTTCACTCTGCAGTCTGCGTTCTTTGTCTTCTCCTGGATTTTTTGTTTTACAAAACCAGCTCGTATCTCTCCTCCTCCGCGAACCCCATATCATTCTACAACTTCTCTCTACTAATCTAATCTATTTAGCAGATTGTATTCAGCTGTCTGTCTCTCCCAGTACTGTTAAGCACCGTGTCAAGTCTAAACCCTCAAACTAACGCCTTTTAGTTATTGCTAGTCAAGGCTTTTGATAAATGATTCACTAAACTCAGGTAGTCTCCCAAAGTACAAAGGTGAGAAAAGACACTCCACTTTCTCCACTCCATCAAGTTAGGGGTGGATTTTACCCTGGTGTGGAGCCAGGCTCCTACTCCACCAGGAAACAGTTCTCTCCGTGTTACCGTGGACAGGCTGCTTTAGAGAGCGTTGGGTTTGTAGGGTACCTTAGACAGCTATACGTTGCCATTACAAAATAGTTGAGATAAACAACTTTAAAAGAGAATGTCGATTTTGGTTCAAGGTTCGTAGGTATTAGTCCTTAGTTGGCCGAATCTCTCTCGGGTCTGTCTTGAGGTAGTACATCATGGTAACAGACCGCATGACGAATGCATGCTCTCATAGCGGCCAGGAAGTTAAAAGGGAGAAAAGAGGCCAGAGCTCCAATATCCCAACTTAAGTCACCATCTCAATGATCTCAATTACTTGTACCAAGCCACACCTCCTAAAATTCCCATCACTTCCCTTCAGCTCTAACAGCTATGCATACATAAGTTTGGACACACATTGAAGATGCACATAATAACAAAAATTCATGCTTATACACTTATAATGACTCTCTAGTGAGACCAGAGGTTAACATGAGGATTTTGTAGTGAATAAGGGGGAGCTTTCAAAGCTAAAAGTCAAGACAGGATATTTCATGTTCTAGATAGTCCCAAAGCTATCAAAAAATCATCTTAAAGTTCCCATTGATCATGTTATAATTTCCAGAAGAGTCTGTAGATCTTTTCTTTTATACATGGCCTCATTTCATTATACTTTACATGAACACTGCAGTATTGATCTGTGGGCTACCTATAAGCCAAGTGCAATCCATCATTGAACATACATAGGACCTTAAACCCTCACCAAGGGATGGGACTTCATTAAGAATATATGTACTGAGGGAGGCTTAGTTCTCCCTAGAATAGCCCCCTGTCTCTTAAATCCAAGGCTGCATTTAGGTCTAGCTAGTCTATCTTTGTTAACATCTGTATCCCTGAAATGGCAGAATAGACCTGCGGAAGGTTTAACATGCTCAATATGATGATAGAGATTAAACATGGCGAATGGGTGTATTTAAACCACGGCTCTATAATTCTTCTTTACCCACTACATCCTATTGTAAAACCTTAGGAAGAGCCTAGAAGAACAGGCCAATGCAATGAAATGATTATGTCTCATGAAGGAAGCTTATCTCTCAAGCATCTTGAAGTGTTCTGGACTATCTAAGGAGATGTATCTTGTTACCCTCTTAAACATCTAAAACAATCATTCATAATACACTCAATCCCCATGAAAATAAGCATAGCTCCATGGGGACCACTGTCTGTTATTCTTCAAGGGATTTTGCATGGCAAGATTGTAAATTATATGACTCAAGTGCTGCAGGCAGAGTGAAGTATTTCAATTGCAGCAATGCCTTATGGTGTCCGAATCATATGCAATGCTCTGATTCTTCGCATAGCTGGGGAAATTGGTCACACGTTTGTGCTATTTTGACAGCAGCTAGACTGAAATAATTCAGAGGTGAGGCATACTTTTCTTCACTAATTGGCATACCACGAAGCAAGAAAGTTAGCCCTGGAAATGGCTGGGCCAAATGGCTTGGATGACTGTTGATCGAGGCATGCAGTGGGGCCACGACAAATTACTGCCTGAATGATGGCAAGGGCACAGGGAAGCAGGAGGCCATCATTAGTGCACACTGGATACCAGCAGACTTTCCCATGCATTGCCCAAATGCCATAGAACCTGGAAGCTCATCAATATGCAATTGTTCATTAAAAAGTTGAAGTAGACTAATTCACGAAGAGGGTTTTCTCTTGTGTTATAACAAACAGGTTTTTTGCTTTATGAGTCTGAAGAACTTACCACATTATGCAAAATAATTTAGAAATTTGATGAAAACTCTATTGAAATTCCAATACCACTCCCCACTCTGCAGAAATAGGGAGAACACAGAGATAAAATCATAAGTAGGCCAGATGGTCATGGTGCACGCCTTTAATCCCAGCACTCAGGAGGCAGAGGCAGGCGGATCTCTGTGAGTTTAAGGCCAGCCTGGTTTACAAGAGCTAGTTCCAGGACAAGCACCAAAGCTATAGAGAAACCCTGTCTCATAAAAAGAAAGAAAGAAAGAAAGAAAGAAAGAAAGAAAGAAAGAAAGAAAGAAAGAAAGAAAGAAAAGAAAAAGAAAAACCACAAGTAGATGATCCACTGATCACCAGGTTACCAGGGATCTATAACAAGATCGTGATAGGCTCTTGGATGAATGCTATTGGGCAGTTGGATACATGTATACTATACATATACAAAGAAGTTGGATGCTCCTGCTGCATGTAACAAAAACTATGTTAAAAGTGTAAGAAGAAGACTTGAAATTGTGAAATAAAGGGGAAATCACAGACTATCTGTCTTGGCTGTGACTTTTTGGACTTGATTCCAAAGATACAGGCAAATGTAAAAAAATGAGTGACTGAATCAAACCAAAATGATTCTGCAAAGCAAATAACAAAGCCGACAAAATGAAAAGGAAACCTACAGAATGGGAGAAAATATTGAGAAACCACACATGCAATAAGAAGCAATATTCAAAAATATATAAGAAGCTCAGATGACTCCGTAGTAAAAGCTAAAATAATCTGATTTTAAATGGATTAAAGTCCTGGATAAACATTTTCCCCATAAACACATACAATTAATCAATCAGATTCATGGAAAGATCCTTAACAATCAGGGCTATGAAATCAAAACCACCATTTAACTGGTGAGATTGACTGTGCTCAAAAGGCCATGTGACAATAAATATTCTCGGAAAATGGAGATAAGGAATCCTTGAATGTTGCCTATGAGATGTAAATTGGTGCTGCTATGGTAGAAAATAACGTGACAATTCCTTAAAAATTTAAAAATGGAGGCTACAGGTCAGAAATCCCTTTACTATATGTACAAGCGGGAGAAATGAAGTTAGCACGGCAAGGAGAGGGCTGCACCCCTATTCCCACTGCACAAAAGTCTAGATATAGACTCAAGATAAATGTGAACAAACAAATGGTTCAGGGAGTATGGCTGCACTACCAATGGAATAGTACTAATCCTTAAAAGGGAGAGGAGCTAGCTGTGAGTGTGACTGCTGGTGTGTATTTGGGATCCAAGTTCTAGAGAGGAGAAGACAGAGATCACAAGCTTCACTCCAGCACTGAGCTATACAATGAGCTCTAGGTCAGCCTGCACAACCAAAAGCCAAGGGGTGAGGGGAATGGGAAGATGTTGGTGAAAGTAATCAAATTTTTTGCTTGAACAAATCTTAGCTTTAATATACAGTGTGATGATTATACTGACAAACAAATGTGGTGGTTCGAATGAGGATGGCCCCCGTGGGCTTATATGTCTGAATTCTTTTTTTTTTTTTTTTTTGCTTTTATGAGACATGGTTTCTCTGTGGTTTTGGAGCCTGTCCTGGAACTAGCTCTGTAGACCAGGCTGGTCTATATGTCTGAATTCTTGGACACTATTTTATGGAATTATTTGGGAAGGATTAGGAGGTGTAGCCTTGTTGGAGAAGGTGTGTCACTGGGGGTGGGCTTTGAGGTTTCAAAATCCCAAGCCATTCCTTGTTAGTGGTTTTCTGCTCTCTGTCTCTGTCTCTGTCTCTCTGTCTCTGTCTCTGTCTCTCTCTCTCACTTTTGCTATCTCCTCTGCCTCCAACTTGTAGATAAGAGGTAAGCTTTCAGGTACTGCTCCAGGCCTGTTCCTGCCTGCTGCTATGTTTACACAGTTATGGCCATGGAGTCTATGGCCCTCTGAAACCACAAGCCCACAACTTAAATGTTTTCCTTTATAGGATGACTTGGTCATGATCTCTTCTCAGCAATAGGAAAGTTAACTAAGACAGTAACTATCGCAGTTATAAACTGGCTAAGAGGTAGATCTTAAGTACTCTTCCCATGGGTGTGGGTAACTATGTGAGGTGACAGGGACATTAATTTGCCTGACTGTGGTAGCAGTCATTTCATAAGATTATGAAAGATTTATAAGAGATATATACAAATTTATTTATATTTATCATATGGACTTTTATAGTTATATATACCATAGTCTTATTAATTAGAGGTATAATATACTTATCATTTTACATACATTATGCATGATACCATGTATTGTACAATTAGCATTACATATAACATTACATATCATACATAGTTAATGTGTATTATATAACTGACATGTATGTTAACATTAAATATATCCTAAATAATAATATATTGTAGAATTGTGTATTATTTTACATACAATATATAATTTATTATTTAAAGCATAACTTTGTGTGTAAATTGTAGCAATAAATTTCAGAAAAAGCAATTTGGAATTTCCCTCATCCAGAGTTGAAGTGTTGGCCCAGAACACTTCCCAGACTCTGTAGATTCTGGTAAGCATTTCATAGGCATAACAGTAACTGAAGCAAGGCTCCCACGTGTAGTTCCTCGCTAGGTTTCTTTGCACACAGATATAGAGAAGATCAACAGTGGGGGTTGCCTAAGCCAGTTATGATAGCTCACCTCTTGGGTAACAAAACTGATTCTATTCTTGTGACCAGGTGTCTAAGCACAGATGAACATGATCGGTGTGAACCAATCACTACAACCCCATGTTCTTTTAGGAATGATTTATACAGAGTTGAGTAAGCAAGCTGTTTACGGTCAGTGAGATGCAAGCGGTCTCCGGGAAGGTCCATGAAAAGAATCCCCCACGTCCATCTACACGGCACACAGAGGAAGAGTGTCATTTCGCTGCGTCATCTTTGCTTCCTCCCTCGTTTTGAAGTCATTCTGTGAGAACAC